TGTCTTCTGAGATAGCCAACACAAAAACAAATATGGACGTAAATGGCTTGGTCAGCCAAGCCTGATCTACCTCGGTGCTCACTCATCCACAGCTGTTCTGGAGTCCCTTGGCATCAGGGACAAGACAACTATAAGTATCCAGCCTCCTAATTACATGTTAGTCATTTAATGGTTGGCATAACCCCGCCTGTGGAAAATGCTTACTCTGTGAAAAGGGCCACCAATCTCCTTGGAATTCCCTTCTCCCAGCAAAATGTGTTTCTTCAGAGTCGGCTGGAAAGGGAAAAAATAGATATTCACTAGTGAGAAAATCTGCACTTGCACCTAAAATCCCAAACCAGAAAGTAAAATTACCAGAAACCAAACCTCTGGTTTCTGTTTTTTGATGCACTTGTATTTGTGCCCCAAAATTTGAAGCATTTGGTTTTCCAATGAAATCTCAAGGTTTCAGTCATTTTTATGGGAACACTTACTATCTTCCAGAAACAACCTCATCAAAAAGGGAGGAAATTAATAAAAAAAAAAAAAGGTAAGGGGAAAATTTTACCTGATCATACCAAGTCCCTTTCCATCTTTCCCCAAAGATGCCCATTCACAGGCATTTCAATGCAATTTTATAAGCACCATTTTGAGGGCAGACCATTTTGAGGACAATGAGAAAAGCTGATCACTGTTCCACAGCATCTGCTGTTTCTCTAACACTGATTTCTTCCTTTGCTTTGATCAAATTAATTGGGTTTTTGGCTTCTCCTCACTCCCTGTAGAAAGGTCATTGTTGCAGTTACCTGCCTCAGCTAGGGCTTTACCAACTGAATATACAGATGCCTGTCAAGTACTAATATTCTCCCTGGGCCTACCCCCCACCCTGTTATTTTCTTTTTCAAAATTAGTAAAACTTAAAAAAGATTGTGCACCAAGGATTCCCTTCTCCACCCAGAAACACACACACCCCCACAGGAACTCCAGCACTTGATGGAGTGTTGGAGATTGATTGCAAACCGCTTCAGTGCAGGAGTCAAGAAAATACCTTAGAAATCTTTGAAGTTTTTTTCTTTTTTACACTGGAAAACACTGGGAAAAGATGGCTCTTCTCCAGTGTTTGCTCTGTGAGATGCAGAGAATTGTCCCTGGTGTGTGCAGAAGTTCAGTGGCCGACTCTAACCACCTGGGTCACCTGAAAAACATACTACAGGAGAAGTAGGTTTTACCAAACCTCTAGATTTTGAGACAACAGTTACCTGAAATCTTGAGCCCTGAAACAAGAATGAAAAGCATTCACCAGAATTACAAAGTGTCTCAGGAAGAAATCCTAGAGGAAAGGTCTTGGACGACAGAATAAACTGAATGAACTTCTGGTAACTTTCAGAGCACATTAGTACAGACCTTCCTATTACTACTTTAGGATATGAATAACTAAGATATTGCAAAGAAATTATTCCATTTTCTTACAATCAAGACTTTTTTTGCAATCTGCCTAATAAAACTTTAAGTAGGTTGCTTTTGTTTTCAAATTAATTAACCAGTAAAATGAGCTGTCCTGCAAAACAGTGTGAAACAAGGAAATACACTCAGCTGGGTCAGTGTTTTGCATCAATATGCAAAATCAATTTACACGTACCTGTCCCCCAGGAACAATGGTACAGACAGGCCAAGAAAAGACAATAATTAAGGAATAATTTTCCTAACAATAAATTATCAAGTTGCAAAGTGTTTGGTGTTAGGGTGTTATTCAGTAAGTTAGGCAATTACTAATCTTTTTGGTTAATACTAGGGAAGCAGTACGGAAACTAGCTATCAAAGTGTAGGGTGGAAATCCGAGAATGTGGGTGCACAGGATTTTGTGAATGAAAGTGTAAAAAGATGTAATGACCATTCTCTCAGTTTAACCCTGCAAAGTCAGCCCAGCCGGTCAGACAGACTGCTTGCCTAAGAATGGTAATAATAGATTACCTTGGTTTGTGTTTGCATACTTACACAGGCTCACAGGCTGTAAAGACAAAGAACACCTTTAGAGAAGACCATTGGCCAGCCCTGTAGCAATAACATCTTCGGAATTTACAAGCAAAGATGTTTTACATAATTGTCTACCAGTTACTCGAGCCAGGCCACGAATTTTAGACCAAAGACAAGTTAGTCGTTACTTTTACATTGAGAAGTGATTGTTCTTGCCAGTGATATTTTACAGAACTGACAGAAGTGTTGTTAAACAGCATGGCCTTAAACAACCTGAATTAATTAGAGCTGCTTTGAGCAGGGGGTTTGACAAGGTGACCTCTGCACATCCCTTCCAATCTAAATTACTTTGTGATTCTGTAAGCATCTGATAAGACGAAACTGGTACACTGCCATGAAATCCTTCCCTAGTCTGCTCATTTTTCCATCAGCACACCTTGACAGCTCAGTTATGGCTTCAGGGCCTCCCTCTCCTGAAAAACACAAACATGTCTTGCATTTGACCTTCAAAATTCAGGGGAAGATCTTAGTGAGCTACGTTTCTTCATACTTTTTAACTTCAGCTATGGACGTGCTGCACAACTGTACTCTTTTGACATAAAAAGTTCACCAGTTTATTATTCCATGCTATCCTTTGCTACATGAAATGCCTAGCCAAGGCTCTTGATAACTGATGGCAGTTAATAACTGATAAGTAGAAAAACAAAACCAGAATATCCACTGAAAGGATAGAATGATTCTCCGGAGCCAATGTAAGGGCTGGGAGAGAAGCCAAGTCCTTATGTTGAGCCTTGAAAAGTCACTTGGGGCCAGATTTTATTACATGCCCATGCAGCTTTGAGATACTGAACACGTGGAGGCTCTCAGATGCTATAGAAATGGCCTCAAGCTCTGAAGTATGCTAGATCCTGTCCTGACTGCTTTCCCAATAGTCCCTCTTTCCAGGCCCTGGTAACAGAAACTGCTACACCCGTCTGAGTTGCAACCAGGGATGCCAGCCCAAAATACCGGCAACACCCTTAGACAATAGAAGTCCCCCACTGCCAGAGTCATTAAAAAAGAATTCATAGCCTGTCACCCCATTTGAGGCAAAAAGGTGGCACACGTGTGCCTGTCCCCTGCGTGCGCCCTGCCAGAGCTGCTGCTTGGTACAGTGAAACAGGCCAGCCTGCATTTTCTTCCATCAGGCTAACTAGCCAGACTCTACATCCACCTCACGAATCCTCTGCTCCCTGTGAAGGCACACAGCATCTCCAAAGAGACAGTGTCTGAGATATTCACGTGACTTAGACTAGGCTACAGAGAACAAGGCCCATGAAAATAACAATAAATCCTTTACAAGGCACAGATCAAATTAAACAAAAGAAGAGCAGCATTGTTTCACACATCTGAAGTGCTAGAGGGACTGGCTGGGAACGCTTAGACAGATCTCTGTGGAAAGCGACATACACAAAACAAGGCTTTTCTTACATCTCTATGTCCCCAGAAGACAGATAGCTTGGATTTGATTTCATATTATTTCTTAGCAGCTAAGCTGCCTGATGGAAGCCAAATAGAGTCTGGCTCTTTGAGATACTTTCTGCCAGAGCTATTACCTGTTCTAGTTTACTCTGCAGCAGCGTACAAAATCCTACATATGATTCTTGTCAGTGGTCTCATGACTTGTCATAGACTGCATGAGCCTTCAAGACTTCATAGACTAAATTAGACATAGGAAAATCATGTTCAAGACCTCCATCCTGCAGCTGTTTTGACTCTGGCTGCCCTTTCAGACACAGCTCAGGAGATTGGTCACTGAAAAATGCAACATGCATCAGGCAGGACTGCACAGTACCAAATGAGGGTCCCGCTTGGTTTGCTGCCTCCCTGTGAGACCTCCTGGCTGAGCTCTCTCTCAGGTAACCTATTTTCTACCTAGGTAGCACAGAATAGGTTGTTTTCCCTTCCATGCCCTCCTGTTTCCATCGATTACACAAAGGCAACAGTGCCAGGTAATTTTGGGAAAAGTGCACTGGGTATGGCATCTAAGGGTCAAGCATGAAGATGACCTGATGTCAGGGTTCTTTGGATTGTCTCCTCCAGCTTAGGGTATGGTACAGTTTGTACCAAGATTCCCAACCTGACAGGAAAGGAACAAGAAGAAATCTGATCAGTGTCTTTGATCCACAGGAATCATCAGGAACTGTCAAATGGGGAAATCAAAGCAAGCAGCAGCTGCATGCCACTGCAAACCTTCTGTCCTATCAAATTCTCAAAATTACTGCTACTCTTTGCTATCCTGTTTGCAAGAAGGCTGACGAGCTCAGAAAACAGACCCATGATACCAACAATACCTGACAATTTACCTTTCCGGTCTGTTTTTCCACAGGACAAAGCTCTGGCTTTGGTGTTGCAGATAAGCAGACAAAACCTGCTCAGCCCCTTGCTCTCACAGCCATAGCCCACTGTACTTAAAGGAGAGCATCTGATGCCAGCGTCCTGATGGGAGAAAAGGCTGAAACTCACCCAGGGCTGCAGATGCCTATGCTTAGAACTGAATGGCTGTGGCCTCCCCAGACTTTGCAGGAATATTGTATGGCGTCTCTGCATCTTCAAGGCAGCAGGACACAGTGCCTTGTCCTCCTGCTCCTCTCTACTCAGCTGAGACAGAGCACCACCAGCAGCCAAGAGCTTTAAGGCTCTTTAATAATACGATTCACCCTCTAGTGGATGACATGGGACCTATTTACCTGCACATAAATTTGGGTAACCTCTGGCCAAGTGGGGAAATTCTGTCCAAGTCTGGATGACGTTTTGCTCTTTTAATAGTTATTTCTTCTCCCCGTTATACTCTTTGAACAAGTCAATAAAGCCAAATGATTAAGACTACATAAAAGCCAGCACATAAATCCGTGGTATAAGATCATAGTAACACTTTCTAAAGCAGAGGAGTCTCCAACTTACAGTAGCTTACTGTTATGCAGGAAATTATCAAGTACATGAAACAGAAGGTAAATTTAACAGGTTTTATTAAATTTACATATAAATTACATTCCTGTGCGTCATGCATGATTGTATAGTTAGATATATCCCATTCTGCCTTGAGTGAAAATGTTCATTCCTCACAAATAGGTGAGAATGCAGATTAAAATATACACAAATCTGCTAGACCACCTAAACCAGATAAGAAGTTTTGGCTCCAGGTTTCCATAACATCTCTCAGGAAAAGCCAAACAAGAATGACATCAGCATATTTTTGCCACAAGTAAGGGATTCAGACCTGTCACGTCCCTCCACACCAACATTCCCAGTGGATGAGGGAGGCTCTCTTAAGTGCTCTTCTTGATCGTCACCATTTGTAATGCTTCGCATCACCAAGAGGCCTCAGAACATGTAAACTACCTAGCTTCCAGAGGAATCTGGATCAGAATTTTCCAGCTGCTACAAGGAAAAACTCCACAAGGCAGTCCAAAATAAAGGCTCTCAAAACATACACACGTAGATGCCAGGTCCTCTTCATCCCCATCCTCCTGTCTGCACTGTGCTGGCACTTGGCTTTAAGGCGGATCAGGTACTGTATCTCTCCGAGTGGATGCTCAGAACTGGCAGCTCCTTAAGCAAATGACAGGTTTGCTTTTTCAGCCTTGTGTGCACCCCTTTGGAGAAGGAGATTTACTGCAGCACTTGATACAGGGCAAAATGCTTAAGGCTGTCATATATTGTACCCAGAATAAGCACAATCAGAAAGTTTGCAGATGCAAAAGTAATTTTTGGACATCTACTAACCTGTTTTGGGGAACCAGTGAGAAAGTTGGTATTTTCAGGACTAAAAACCCTAAGTGTCCAAGTTACAATGAAATTCAGCAGGATTGGGAAACTGAAAACCCAAGTCTAGAGTACTCTGAAAACTGGAAACCAATTGTATCTTGTAATTATGCTTTTCTTCATAAAGATCAAATTTCTTTCACCATCCTGGCAAGATAATTGCTACTGCCAAGAGAAAAAAAAAAATCATATATATTTGTCATACATCAGCTTTGAGCTTCCTTTAAGAGCAATATACTTCAAAGTCATGTTCTGCTGAAGGGACTAAAATGAGATTTGTTGAGTTCAGACTTATGGAACCAGTCTGACAGTTTTTATTCCCTATGTATAAATTAAGCCACCAAGTTTTGTTTCTGAAGCTCACAACATTCCACAAGAGAAGTTCCCTGAGAAAAACAACATTAAATGCCGGGTATACACAGCTGTAGGACACACAACAGCTGCAGACCTTCTCTGGGCATCCAAATATTCCAGTGCCTCCAGTGAGGCTCTAGGATCTCTGTACTGGCAAACAGTCAGATCACAGGATATGTAATCAAAATACTTCTGTTAGCTGGATGGATTGCTGCTCTGTTTGGCAGCATTTGCAGCAAGCTGCACAGTCAGAGAGGGTCCCTGAACTGCCATTGATTATGTCACTTGACTTGTGCTCAACTTGGACAACACTATGATCCTAACCTGTAACCACTGAGGGTCTTTCCCCCATTCCTGTTAAGTAAGAGCACTCCAAAAGCCTGTTGTTAGCCTTTTCTGGTGTAAGAGTCTTCCTTGCTTAGTACACTGGACCAGCTCCAGGTATTGGCAGTGTGGCCAGTATCTCCTCTGCAGAGTTCTTTCTCTTCTGACCACAGAGGGAGAAGAGAGCAGCTGAGTGGCTCATTATCTAGCAATTAAGTCCACAGCACATAAAGCATTGGAGAACCTGTGGACACACCAAGGAAAGCATCCTCACCAGGAACAGGCATGTTCTGCTGCTGAGGTGTAGAAAGTGTTTGAGACCTACCTGGCAGACAGAAACATGGGCTCCTGAAAACATCAAGTCAGAGAGGATATGAGGTTTGTGTGGTTGAGATCAAATGAGTTAGCTACAGTCTGGCAATATAACACAGGCAATTCCTACTTTCTGTCAGAAGAGAGAGATCTTTGCATAAGATTAGTGGGTCAGTTAGGAGTTCTGCCCTTCTCTGAAGGAGACGGGCATTTCCACTGTAATACAAAAGCTTTTTTTTTTTTCAAGATACAGATGAAGATGCACATAGTCAATTATAAACACTTGAGAACAGCATTCACAAGAATAAGCAGTTTGGGAGGGGTTTTTTAACAATGGTCATACTGATATTGTTACTACTGTCCATCCTGCACAAAAAGCAAAGGACTTTTATTCAGAAAAATGCAATCTGGATAGTTAAAAATGGAAATTAATTCAGCCAGCTACTCTGATATGACAGCAGACTGGTATGAACACAAAGTGGTTTTCGATCCTAAGTCCAGCAGTCACTCCCATGGCAAATGCTGTCATAGAGGCTGTTTATATGAAGTTATGAGTGGGCATGCATACACTTGGTCAAAGAAGGTGGAACACAAGCTGGTGTTTTCCACAAATTCCTTTTTCAGGACAACACAGCAAGGAAAAATTCTCTATTCACTAAAGTAACAGTCCAACATGATATTAAGAACCAGGACTTCTCTAAGCCATCTTCCATTCTTCATTATAGTACACTTCCCAGAATGATGCAGGAAAAAAATCAAGAATTCAGAGGTGCAGCAGCCTTGGAGTCAGGAACTGGATTGTAGCTTGTCTATTAATAGATAGGGTCCTGTGAGCACACAGCAAATGGGTGGGCCATGTTTCAGTTATAACTTGTCTTGGATGCTGGTAGATGGTTGTTTGGGCTCAAATGCTTTGCTTGACCACGGAGAAAAAAGGGTCAGTATATTGCATATAGATGAAGGTAGTTGTCCCTCTGACAGACTACTTTCTGAGCAAACAACAGTCACATGTATCAAGTCCATTCCTGTCTGGCTGTAGGCCAAACCAATTTCAAGTCCTAGACTACTCCAAGCTTGGATACATGACCACAAGCTAAGCCAGCAGCTCTTTAGACGGTGACCACAGAGCAGAATGTGTCAGAGGCATAGCTGTACACAGCCCACAAAACTCAACCTGCTCCAGGTTTCAGATGCCCGTTTTGGAGCGGATCCAGTTTCGATAGTAAGTCACTCGTGTGTACACTCCTGGTTTATTTCGCTTTCCACATTCATCTCCCCAGCTCACTATTCCCACAAGATACCAGATTCCTCTGGAGTTTGCATGCACCAGTGGCCCACCAGAGTCACCCTAAGGAGAAAAATGTCAACAGGCAGGAACAAAGTTAACAGTGTTCACCTCACTAATACAAGTCTTAAATTGTTGTGTTACAACTGACAGGTATTTTTCTCTAGACCTCAGTTTCACAAAGTTTATTGGCAAGACAGAAGCTGACAGCCTATATCTAATTCAGTCTCTCCCAGTCCACGCCCTTATATCTGTATTCTCTCATATGTGCATTATACATAAACCCCAAGCACTGAACTTCAGACTTCAACCCATGAGCCATGAAGCTCTTCGTTTGCATCTGTCAAGGTACCAAAACCCATAAACTTTAGACTCCCTGAAGTGTATTTTATTTCTAGAAAACATCACCTTCCACTCCACATAGTTTCTTTTTAATATTGCCTAGAAATAAACTTACCTGGCAAGCATCCACCTGCCCCTCCAAGTATCCAGCACACAACATTCCAGGTGTTATCGCTCCACCATATACTTGTCTACTATTACAGATCTCAGTACTTATAATTTTCACTTCCGCTTGTCGAAGCTGATTAACACTATAGCCTGGAAGGAGAAGTGGCATAACAATATGCAGGCAGAGTTCACAACATAAAACATGCAAAGATTAGGAGTAGACAGATTTTCCTACAGCTTTTCTGCCATCACAAGCTATCTGGACAATGTCTCAGAAATAAGAAAGTTCCCTCCTCCACCAAAATCCCTCATTTGCTTTCCCTTGCATAACTCTTCTCTGTCTTTCATCATCACTAGATACTCTTCAGCATAATGCACAAAGAGATTTTTGTACATATTTCTGTATTAAATTCAACTGCAGGCTACAAGATACATCCTTGATATCACTGGAAAGACAGGGCACATGAAGGAAAGAGACACTCACCATCATTCTCCAAAGCTCCCCAGCCTGTAACAAAACAGGAAATGTTGTCTGGGAAAACGTGAGATGCTTCAGGAAGACACACACTGTGCACATCACTTGTGAACTCAATAGGAGAGGCAAGTTCCACAACAGCCACATCATGTTCGTGATCAAGGATAACTTCACCATATCTTTCATGAACAATAATTCTTCGGACAAGTTTTTTCTGTTTTGGAGGTCTCAGCAGAATCCCAAAGCTGGCAGTCCACCTCCGAGGGTCAGTTCCCCTGTAAGATATTTGAGGTTATGTCACAGCCACACAAAACAAGATTCCCAAAGGAGCTTAGCTCCCCTTTTAAGCATCAAAAAGCATCGCTACCAGGTTTGCCTAAGGCAAACTTCACTACATTTCAGTAGATATAGACATTAAAGGGGCACAAAAGGTCAGAGCACCCAAGAGTCCTGAGGCCTGTAGGATCAGGAAGGCGCTGATGACTTACCCTCTAAAGCAGTGGGCTGCGGTCACCAGCCAGGTATTGCTGATGATTGATGCCCCGCAGCGGTGGGTCCCATCCAGCTGGATGCTGGCCTGCCATGGCCATTCTCCATCCCGCGCACGCTGACCGCCAATTATTCTCTCCACTCCTGTGAAGGAGAATGCCTCTCTTCGTAATCCACAGCCTGCCAAAGAAAAGACAGCTCTGCTCTAGCTGATTGAAGGCCCTCATGGCTGCACACACACATGTAACAGGGCAGGGTGTCTGTCAAGAGACGGCCTTCAACTAAAGCAGGGAAACCAAGTGCCATGGTCACAAGTGTCTCAGGACAGATGCAGGGCAAACAAGGAAGTTTGATAGAAGAGTCAGTACTTTTTCATTAAGCCAGTTTCCAGACACACCAGCCTATATGTTCCCCCATGGGAACTGAAAGCTGTGTATCTGAGACATTGAAAGAAAAGATTTTGTCAGGTCACCTCCAGATTAACCTTGACAGCAGCAACAAAAAAGTAGTGTCCTCTTCCTCCAGCAATTTACTTACAGCCACTGTGCCAACAGCACAATCATATGTTACCCATCTGAAAAAAGTTAAATCCAATTCTCAGAATCCATTTGAAAGTGGAAAGCTAACATGCAAAGACCATGCAGGGAACTGGTGCAGTCCCCTGGGAGGGTACTTATTCTGTCTCCCTTTTTCCAGAGGAGCTTTAAGACCTCAAGGGGGAGCACAGAACAAGAGAAGGACTGAGAATTTGCCAATCTCCAGGGCTGAGTCATTGCCTTGCTCTCACTGTGATCAGCTCTTCTCCCTCTCCCACCCCCTGCCCTTTCAGCTTAAATCTGACAGACATCTATTGTCAAACGTTTCTGCGTGGAGGAGGGGGCAGGAGAGAAAATGTTTCTTGAGGGATTCCAGCAAGAATCTTGGCCCACAGAAACTGTCAGTGCTTGTGCAAACTTGCTAACAGTAGCTTATCTATGTGCCCAACTTCCCATAACCAACATTAAACCAAGTGCTTCCCACCGCTAAGTCAGAATGCTTTATTCTACAAACAGCACAGAGCCAGCAAGACTACAAGAAAATTATCTAAAGTCTTCCATGTCTCATGCACTCTCTCCTGCTCTAATATCTGGAATAAATTCTTTTTTCAACTTGTATCATAAAAACATAAGGAATTTGTAAACACAGAACCTCTAGAACCATGTCCCTGAACCTTTACTATAAAGCATTTGTACTTACAGTTGTTTAAAAGGTTGTCTCCCTTTTTCTTATTCAACTCTGAAATGAAAAACAAACACCACAGTGAGTATATGCTCATATGCTCCATGATCTAGCACAGACTCCCTCCCTGTACCCAGCAAACACAAATTAAATGGCTTGCATTGCTGCATGCAGTGAAGTATGGTAAAAGGAGTAATTTACTGTAACTGGAGAAGTTCAGTGAAGCCTCTGTTCATCACTGAAAGTGCAAGGCCACAGGATACATCTTTCTTGCCTTAGTTCAAAGCTAACCAAAGCAGCATAAGACTGCAAGTAGGTCTAAGTTACATCTGCATGTATAACATTCACAGTCACCATCTAACATCCACAGGCATCTTTTCAGCTTTAGTGTGACAAGGTGGTCAAAACAGTCTTTATAAATCCTCAGTGATGAGGTTGACTGGAGCTAAACTGCAACATTTCAAATTTTTTCCTACAAAAACCCCTCTGCCAGATTGTGATGGTAACCAGCGACAGATTCATGGGACAGGATCACTGCCCAGGGAACCTCATGTTTTGTTACAAACACAGCAATCTGTCACAAAAGAAATGACAGAGGGTGAAGAAGGGAACCATCTCAGTCTTGCATTTTTTAATAGCTTGATGACTCTGCATTTCAGTGCCTGGTGATAGAGGTTCTTGTTCAATTCACTGTCTGCCTCAAAGTAGTTTGTGAACACATGGTCACAAAGTTGGTTTTTTTGATGAATTGAGGGGATCTGTCTCATTCAACACAACTAGGTCATACAGAGAAAGCCTCTGATGCACAGAGGAGAGCTCACACTCATAAGATCAGTGCCTGTGTGTTTTAGTGGTTTTCGTGCTACTTCTTCCAAGTTCCCAGGCTGTCAGCCTAACATACAGTTCTGAGAAGGGAAAAAAAAAAAAAAGAAAACAAGAATAGCCCATATTTGCATACTAAAGTGAAACTAATTACACTATGAACAGCAAATTATGAGGAACAAATTCCTAGGCACAAACCCAAGGCACTTACCTGTGAGTCTAATGGTAGACTGGTCAACATCCAAGTCCGTTGAGATTGTTTTCAGCCTTCTGCGTAACACACGGTTGATGTGACCCCAGGTCGTTGCTTCACTGTCAGCAGAGGCAAATTTAAATACCAGAACAACAGATGCAAGCACTCCACCAGGATCTGGGCTATAAACCAACACAAACAGAGTGGTGTTGTCCTCTTTGCCCACTAATGCCCTTGGTTCTGCTTTGTACTGTCTGCCTGTTTATATGAGAACTGGTCTGGTTTGCACAGACATCTAGAGCAAATAGCATAGCTGTGCACAAGTAAAGGAAGTTGGTTTTTTGGGTTTTGGGGTTTTTTTAGGTAGCAAAAGGTTCTCACTATGGCAATGATCAGAGGGAATTTTCTGGAAACTTTTATAAGCAATAGAGCTGGGAAGAAGAGAAGGGATTGCTCCCTTTGGCCTCCACACAGATCCTAGTCAGTAGGACACGAATGGCAGTGGTAATAACACAGTAAGTTACAACTCTTCAACAGATATCCAGTGTGCCATTCCTAACAGCCATTGAAAAGATCCAGTTTAGAGCCACAGAAGTTAAAAAGGTCTTTTGGCATTTCTTTCCATTTAAGTCACTTGTCCGTTTATTGGCCAGTTTGATCCACTGTATTTAGATACAACATGTTTAATAGCTTTGAAATCACTTACTATCACTATAAAATAATGAGCCCAATATTTAAAGCAACAGTCTAAAGGAAAACCAACCAAAGCCTTGAGGCAAAGACAAGGGAGATGCAGCTAAGCTGCTCCAGTGCCTAACTGCACAAAGTATCCCTAGTGAAAATAAGTGTGGAAGAGATACATTGTTAGATCAACTTAAAAAGCGTAAAGAGGTCACTTGGAGTATAGCTCCCAAATTCTGTGATTTCAGTTGATGTACACTATGGGAGGCTTTTGGAAGAAATCAGCATCAGACAAGAATTTAGAACATTTTAAGCAAACTACTCATTCCATATAGAGACAGGTAAAGGCAAGAAAGCCCAGAAGTGCTATGAAGACATTTGGGGGAATTTTGGCATTCTTTGCTGTCTAAGGAAAAATATTGCACAGCAGATCTGAGCCTTACAGAAATACAACTCCAAAATAAACTCCAAAAATCCTGGAGGAGAGGGAAGTAATGGCTCTTACCACTGAGAGTGATGCATAATTAATGCAGAGGAAAGACTTCAAAGCTCTCACAAAGGACCTTTATACCTGCATGTCCCACTTGCCTCCTTCCCTCTAGTGTATCTATGCCTATGTTCCCTTGTCTATATCCATGTATCTCACAGTGGACTCATTTATTCCTTCAGGCCTTTCCAGAGAGGGAGGAGAATAATCATCTCCTACTGTACACCATGCAGAGTGGTAAACACCAGCCCAAGCTTCCATGGGAAGCAATAAGTGTGACAAAGAGCTTACTTGGCATCTCTCCAGCTGTTAACTAGTAGTGGAGACAAGGATCACCCAGTAATCCAGTTACTGCATCACAGCCACAAACAACTGGTGCTCAGGAAATTAACCTGCAGAAGTATAAGGCCAAATTTCTCTTCCTTGCTGACCTCTGAAGGTAACTGAGCCCTCAGAGTACTGGAGGGGAGTGACAACCAGACAAGGCTTAGTCATCCCACTGATGTAGCCCAAGCATAAACAACCAGGAATGCTCCATATGGTCAAGTGGTAGGAAGAAAAGATATTTAACACATCCCTGCTTATTCCAGACCATCACATTACTTACCTTAGACTGACAACGTGGGACTTGACGTATCTTTTACTTAAAAAGGATTCCTTGAATACTTCAGACATCTGTTAAAAGAAAAGGATGTGTTAAAATACACCTGTAATAAATACATGCTTTCATGATATAACAGTCTCATGAGCCTCTGAAGCACAAGAAAATGCTTTCAGATTTCCACCTCTACACCAAAGCTACCATTAAATTTCCATCAGAGGATGCAGATCCAAAATAAATTGAATTGGCCAGTTTCACTGTCCATTCTGCTCTGTGGTTGCCTGTTTCACCACAGGGCTGCTGGAACAGACTGTGCTTACCATCTGCTTGCACACAGTCAGCAACACATCTTTAACCCACTACAGCAAGGTTTAGACAGGTAAGGGCCAGACACATAAGGATAAGGTAAAATCACCTCTGACTATTTCCAATCACACAATTGCAAGACTCCTCACCATAGCTCAGGCATGAACAGAGAAACATCTTAGTTTACCATGGTTTCAATCTCTTCACTCAGGTTCCTGAACTCTTCTGTGGTTTGCCTTTGGTACTGAGGGTCGTAGTTGACATTGCTGATCAGGAAAGATAAATTGTAATATCTGTCTTGATCTACAGGGGAGAAAAAATAAATAAAGGTAGCTGATCTCCTTTGATACAATTCAAAGATGAACAGTACCTCATAAAACATGGCACAAGTAGGGGTTCCAGGCTCTGGCTGTGATCCTATCAGTGGAATTATAGCTCTAGCAGCACCTTGGGAAAAGGGAGGTCTGGACCATGCTGATGCTCCATGAACCAGCTAGGGGCTAATTTCTTATTTGAGGACCATCCAAAGTAGCTGCAAATTACACCCACTACAACATTTCTCTGGAGCCCTTTTTCTAGTTGGCCTGAGGTGAGCACAGCACGAGACAAACCAGCCCACATATGTCCCTTCTGACTCAGTAGACAAACTCACTCCTCCCTGGCTGCACTCTGGCATGTCCCTGTCCCTCTGAAAGGCAGGAGACATGGAGCCGTTTGCATCCATTCAGCAGCTGGGTGATGTTTAAAATCTGGTCCTCTGGTGAATGGCAGAGGGGCCCCATAACACAGGGCTGGCAAAAACCAAAACTAAGATGTAGCTCTCCCACTGCTTCTTCTAGTGTCCTAATGCAAGCCATAAACTCACCAACTCCTGGTGAGCTGAGATGACAACATGATTAGTTCCATTCCAGCAGGAAGGCATTTCAAAACCACTCACACTTGTATCTCAGAGACTGGGAATGAAATGACTTGGCTTCATTCATGAGCCAAGTGACTGGGAATGGAATGACTTGGCTTCAAGTCATGAGTCAAGATGATAGGATTTGACAATCTTAAATTTCGTTTCCAACCTTAACGATTCTGTGATCTGCTACTGAAACTGAGTCCTTGGCAACCAGGACTGACTCCTGGGCTCTGAAAAGCCCTTTCTTTTTCTGTAATATTCTCATCTAGGGGTACCAGGTTAAGTTTCTGCAAAAACCCCAAGTTCAACACCAAGCTTATTATGTGTAGCCTGAGTACTGGACACACCTCTGGCTTGTACAGAAGACTGTTATCCTTTGGTTCACCATGGATACCAGTGAAGGCATCAGAGCAAAATGAGAAAAAGATAGAGGGTTAAAACTGAAATCCCTGATTCAAGTAAAGGGTAGTTCAAGCATTCTTGCAGGTTTTCAACCGGTTCAGATCTTGAATAGGGTTTAGAAAACTTTCTCATGTGGGTTCTATACCAGGGGTGAATTGTATGCCTAAACGATCAGACAAGACAACAGTAGCAGGTGAAACACAACAGACTCCTGAAGTTGTGACAACAAAAAGAGTGGTGCACTTACCATTACACAAAAAAAATGTAATCAAGCCAATGATGAGGGCTAAGCCTACTATCACCGACACAACAATGACTGCTATCTTCCATGGCTCTAAACGCCTCTTTGCTCTGTCCATCGGGATCAATATCTGCATTGAAGAAAACAACATGGAGAAATTCAGCTCTAACACAAAGACAATAGTACATCCTAGGAGGGCATAGCTTAGCTCAGCTGAAAAACTTCACAAAATGAGGCAGTTTGGGAAGGACCCTGGACTGCCTGTTTAAACCGGGTCCCTCTACAGCAGGTTGCTCCAGGTCTTGTCCAGCTGAGGTTTTATTATCTCCAAGGACAAAGATATCCCAGTCTCTCAGGATCCCTGGTCCAGTCTCTGCCCACTCTCATGGCAAAAGCTTTATATTTTGTGGGAATTTCCTGTGTTTTAAGTTGCCTCTGTTGCCTCACATACACCCTGAGAAAGAGTTTTGCAGGTTATTGCTTGTAGAGGCAATTTCCCATCAAGAAATATTATACAGATTTCAAGTGCAGCAGACTGCCCACACAGGTGCTTAAACTGAACGTAAATGTAATAATTCATGACTTATGAAATATCTTCTGCACCAAGGATACTCCAGGCTACCAGAGATGCCATATAACATACAGCTTTGGTTATTTTTAGTTGGTATGAGTAGTAATATTCACTGATACCCTACAGGGTTTGGGGTTTATTGCACCAAAATCACATATACATTGTAAGAGACCACATGCTCTGCCAGACAGTCTGTGAGAGAAAGAGCTACTCGTGTGTAAATGTGACATGGCAACAAGATCCAGATTTAGGGACTTGCTGAAAACCAACAGCAGATATGTAAAGGAGTAGAGAACTTGAGTCACACATGGAAAAAGGCACATAAACCCCTTTCCTCCACTTATGTCCTCCAGTGCAGCATTAAGCAAGAGAACATTCAGAAAACTGCATTTTTGCACACGTCCTCAGTAACTTTGTAGAAGGATGATGCAAAACCCTAAGCATAATTATTTAAGATCCCCAGTAATTCCACAGCACACTATGTAGTAATTGTCATGTCACACACTGAGTCTCCACATCATGGTCTGCATTAGTACAGGGTAACAGAAAAACACGTGAGATAATCTCTCAGACATGCCTGGAGTGACAAATGGCAGCAGCCAGCCCTGGGGAGGAAGGTTGAGCTGGCTAGTCACCTCTCTGTTTTACACCCACTGATCCATGTTTGTATTGCTGTGGATCAGACATACTAAATGCTGTTTTCCCCTTTTCAGACCTATGGCACAGCCATTTCTGAGCAACATCTGAGAAGCTGGGGGCAGGAGGAGGCAGAAAGGCAGGCAGACAAAATAAGTCTTTGCAGGTTTTTTGACTACAAGGTGTCAAAGAAAAAGTCACAGTAAAAACAGAGCAGGATACCAGCAGATGTTCTGTCTTAGTAAATGATCTGAGTGGGCAGATGAGCAGTGAAGGCAAAGGTATGGGGCACAAATCCAAAACAGCAAAAGACAATGAAGTGGTGAGAGAGTAGAATGGTGTTATACACTCTGCTCTGATGGCAAGAAAGCCAAGTAAAGGCACAAACAAGAGATGGCAAGCAAAGCAAACAAAAATCAAACCAAAAAGTAACAACAAGAACAAAAAAAGCAACAACAAAACAGACAGCACTACAGAGGAAGCAGCTGAGAGGTATGCAGACAGTCAGGGTGTGCTCAGCAAGTGACAGGGAAGTTGAAAGCAACTAAAAGTCTAATCTCCTCACATAAAACCTTGGGTTTGGCTAGTCAGAGTGCTGTCAGGTATCCCAGTCCAGTCCATTACTTAAGAAGGGAAGCAGGCTTTTACCTGCTGAAAGAGGTGGCATACTGGAAAGAAAAAGTTCAACAGGATAGCTTCAGCCAGCATCATGACTGCAGGTAGTCACAAGCAGTAGCTTAGTGTTACCAAAATACACAGGACAGGTGACCAGAAATAAGTCTTCTGCTTCAAAGTCACATACTACAGAGGAGCCCAGTATCTCTCCTTCTGTTGTTCCTACTTCACAAGGCACAGTTCTATTCTGGTAATGCACAGCCCAAGTTTTCTCCCCACTCAAGTGGCTCAGCTTTCTGATGGCAAGGCTCTGCAAAATAGACTGTAGGGCAGTTGACAGGAGCCTGAAATCCCAGGCTGGCCAAGGTTATTTTCTTTGCAAACTCCAAGTTGCAATAAAAGCACATAAATAACACACACTGGAACTCAACTGATTCCAGTGAGGCCTTGACTTCTCAACATCTAGACCTTCACTGTGTAAACTATCCACTAACCCTGAGGGTTTAACTGATGGAGAGATTCAGATAAAAACCCAAGACCAGTGGAACTGTTCTGCTTGTTTCTTTATTTCACTGTAGCCTCCCATGAAGCACTCCCATACTCATCTCACAGCTCACACTCTTTCACAGTGCCAGCTTATGGAATTGCAGCATACCTCACGGGCAGTGAATTATTACCCTCAAGGACAAGCCTCTTGGCTCATCAGAACAGCCCACTTCAGCAACATGCCTCTGCCCCTCCGTAGCTAGCCACCCCTCATGCTTGAAAGATGCTGCTTTAGCATCTGATTTTGCTCTCTTCACTGGAGAGCTTTTGCTTCCAGCCTGAGCCCCTACCAACCCTCTCAATCAAACTGGTTCCCTGTGCTGCAGCTGTCCTCACCCCAATGTGCTTCCACCTGAATGGCAGCTGGAGCACCATCCCCTCGTTGCTCTTGGCACAGAGAAAGCACAGCACAGTCCTCCTGGCAGCATGTGGCTGACTCTGCAGATATTGAGGCAACAGTACTCTGGTGTTACGACTGCTGTGTTTCTTGAAATGCATACAGGTTTCCTCAAGACATGGCTTTATGCCTCAGCTGCAAAAGCTTAAAATTCAGAAAACCAAGCATCTCACTGCCTGTGGGACTCAGGCTCTCACAGGCAGCACTGTCCTTCCAACAACCTGTCTCTATTTCCTTTGTGTGCAAATACAAGCTACAGCAACAAACACTGGCAGCACAGACCTGCTTCTCCTCCAGCATTTCAGAACTGCTTGTTCTCTACAGGTCACACAGGCTTGCAAGGGGAAACAGATACCTCACAAACTGCTCTAGTGCCAGGGGAAACGAAAACATGAGAGATGAGGAATAAAAGCCTATTCCACTTCTGATTCTAATTCATTTTGAATTTTTTTCAGAAAACAGTTTAAAAGAAACACTTCCATATATTTCTGCTTTCATATCAGAGAATCACAGAACAGTTTAGGTTGGAAAGGACCCAAATAATCATCCAGTTCCAACCCCCATACCATGGACAGGGACACCTTCCACTAGACCTGGTTGCTCAAAACCCCATCCAATCTGGCAGTTGAGTACTTTCAGGGATGGGGCATCCACAGATTCTCTGGGCAACCTGTTCCAGTGCCTCACCACTTTCGAAGTGAAGAGTGTCCTCCTAATATCTAATCTAAATCCCTCTGTCAGTTTAAAGCCATTTCCTTCTTATCCCTACATACTCTTGTAAAAAGTCCCTCCAACTCTCACGTGGCCCCTTTTAGGTACTGGAAGGTGCTATAAGGTCTCCCTGGAGCCTTCTCATCTCCAGGCTGAACAACCCCAACTCTCTCAGCCTGTCTTCATAGGAGAGGTGTTCCAGACATTTCATCATCTTCATGGCCCTCCTCTGGACTCAGTCCAATAGGTCCATGCCCTTCTTATGCTGGGAATCCCATGGAGAACTGGATGCAGTACTCCAGTACTCTGCAAGAGCAGAGCAGAGCGGCAGAATCACCTCCCTGGACCCACTGGCCACGCTTCTTTTGATGCAGTCCAGGACATGGTTGGCTTTCTGGGCTGCAAGTGCACCTTGCCTGCTCATGTTGAACTTCTCATCAACCAACACCCCCAAGGTGTCCACCAACATCCTCATACAGGTAAATAATTTGCATGTAGGGTATATATTTGTATATAGGATATACGAGTTAAAGTGGAAATATCTTTTCAAAACCAAAAAATTTTCCTCCCTTTAGCAGGATGTTTTTGACTTTCAACTTAATAAGATGAGTAACAGAACAGGTAAAAAATTTCTTTTGCAGTGGAAGCACCAAGTCTCACCAACTCCCACATTGTACAGTTGCCAGTATCCTTCAATTGTACTTTCTGTGTGCAGAACCCAGCTCAGCAACCCCTGTATTTTGGGGTTTTTTTGGCTATTTTATCTCACAACTAGGTTGGCCTAGCTCTGCTGAGACAGAGTCTAGGATGGTTAGTGAGAGCCAGTCCTTGTTCAGGTTATGCCCACTTAACACATTCATTATTCATACACATTACACCTCCAACTAGCTCTTTGCTCCCGTAGCCTTTTTGCTGTTGGGCCAGAGAGGGCAAGCTTGTCATGCTCTACCAGAATAACCACCTGACAGGGATTCCTGTGCTTGGGACATCCAGGTCCATAGTTAAATAGTTTAGTGGCAGGTGGGACCCCCTGTTTAGGAATCAGACATTGTCTTCTCTGCACTCTAGTAACCAAGCAAATTCTGTTCCATCAACACAGGCTGGCCAGAGAAGCACTGTTCCTCTGCAGTGCTGATGAGAGCAGAAGCAGAAATTATTTCATTGCCTTCAACCATGGATGCATACTTTCTTTCTTCTTGTGGAAAGAGGTAGTGCTTAATAGACAGGCATTTTCCTCAGAAGACCCCCAATACCACAGCTCTCTGTGTAGATGCCTTCCAGAGTCAGGTGTTTTCTACAGCCCCACATGTCTTGCTTCCTTATATCACAGGCTTTGACCTTTTTTATTGCCCAAACTCCAGTAAGCTGCAAACTAACTCTTAGTGGGGCAGATAGGGGAATTCAGGTAACACCAACCCATTCACCTTCTAGCATGAATGAGATAACTCTCATACTGCAGGAGCAAACCTTAGCAAGAGATCAGCATCCAAACTCCAATGGGACACCTGGAAAGCCAAATCCTCTCTCCTCTGAAAACCACCTCCTCACGGCCTATATCTGATGGCTGACAGTCTGCAGTGAATTAGTGAGAAGTTTCAAACCCAAGATCTTTTAGTTCAGTACAAAACTGCTTATCTTGGCA